AGTGCTGAAAGTGACCAAAGTATCTTTTGTGATGCTAGTAAGGTGACTTTTGGGGAAATACCCTAAGAACTGGGAGGAAGGGTCTCATTGCCAGGGAAACCCACTGGGAAAGGAGCTGGTGGTCAATGATTTAATCTACCATGCCTTTGTAGTGACGCCTCCATAAAAACCCAGAAGAAGGAATTTTCGGGAGCTTCTGGATTGGTGAATATGTGGCGATTCTTGCAGAATGGTGTACTTGCAGAGGGCATGCTCTCTCTCTCCTTTCTCCATACCTTCCCCTTGGCTGTATGTGAGTTGTTACCTTTTCAAGAAATTGTTGATCTAATGAGAAAACAGGTTTCTTGAGTTCTGTAAAATCCTCTAGCAAATTAATCAAACTGGACTGGGGTAGTGGGAACCTTCAATCTATAGTCAGTTACCACTAGTATCTGAAGTGAAAGGTGGGAGACTGGGCCCTTAACTAGTACATTCTGGAAGAGTACATCAGAGACAAGGGGTGTCTGAAAATTGCTCTGTGAAGGGAAGCCACCACACATTCACCTTCCAGTTGGATCCAGATCCTACACAAGTCCTTTGGGAAGGAAATTAAGGTTAAATGGGGTCTAACTGGTGGGGTCTTAACCCAATAGGATGGCATCTTAGAAGAGAGTAAGAAACACTCGCTTTCTCTTCATGTACAGAAGAAAGGCTATGTGAGGACATAGCAAGAAAACACTAGTCAGTAAACTAGAAAGAGTGCCCTTACAGAAACAGAATTTGTTGGCATCTTACTCTTGGACTTCCCAGCCTCTAAGATGGTGAGAAAATAAATGTCTGTGGTTTAAGCCACCCAGTCTATGGCATTTTGTTATGGCAGCCTAAGCTGACTAAGAGCACACAGTCTGTTGCAGAGAAAATGTTGTTCAATGCACAACATGTACAACCATTCCCTGATTACCATATGCTATTGTGTGCTCTATTTCAGAGGATGTTAATAACATCTGTGAGTCAGCACTGTGATGTAGTCGAGTCAGACAAAAATTTATAGGAATCGTGAACCATCACTTCCCAGCTTCAGCATCTTCAGGACAATCCTAAATTCCTCTGAATATCAATTTCCTCCTGTGATGTTTGTCTCGTTGGTTAACTGCATCCTCTCCGCAAAATTTAACAGGACTTATTACTATTATTCACCTTAAAGGAGCTCATGCCAGGGTTTTGGGGTTTTTTTGTTTGTTTGTTTTTTCATGTCTTTGATTTTCTCTACATGTTCAAAAGGTTTCTTTGAGAAAAGAGTAAATATTATAAAAATTCATATTGTCATGACAAAGGTTTCTGTCTTTAAGCCTGCAAATTTCACTTCCTTAACCCTAGGCAATTTGATATGTGAACCATTCACTATTGATACCTTTAAGTCAGTCATCAGGCATGGGCTAAAGCTGACCTCTGGACAGTGGAAAATTCTTGGAAGTCTTGGGTCATTTGAACTCTGATTTTATCAGTGTGCTCAGAGAAGTAAATGCAGAATTCATGGGTCAGATCAATAACTATCAGGAATGGAATTTCAATAACAGTAGACAATAAGAATTCATGGCATTGACCTGATGACAGTAGTAGAGCAATAATTCAAAGGTATTGAGATTTCCTAGGGACACAGGGACAATCAGTAGTCAAGAGTTTATATATACTATCTCAGCAACTTTATAAGGTTATATACTATAATACCCACTTTATAGGTGAGGAAAACTAAATAACTTGCCCGAAGTTCTATAGGAGAAAATGACAGAAAATTTTAAAATGCTCCATGGGAACTGATTGCTGTCCAGTGCTGTGATATAGTCCCTAATGCCTATCATCTGGGCCGCAGACTGAGTCTTTCTCTGTTGCAAGTAACGCTATGGAAGAGATGTGCTGTTAGGGAAGTTTCCACGCACTTCCAAGTGATATGCAAGTTTTATTCCCATTAGCACAAATCCTCCTGAAACCATTCTATGTCTAAAATCCATCCACATGTTCTTAACTAAAAAATATAGAAAACACTCATCCATATCGTTTTAATTATGCTAGTATTAATGTAGCCAAGTCTGCATAACCAGTCCCCTGAAAGACAGACTCTGTCTCTTTAAGTGTTTTGTAATTATTACTCTCCAGGCCAAATGGAAATACTACGTTTTCTCCAAACAGCAAATCAAGCAAAATTCCAAGATGTTAACCGAAAGGCAAATCAACCACATCAACCTCTCCCTGCTTCTCGCTCTCCTGAAAGCACTGGCTGTTTTCAGAGTCAGAGTCTCTGCAACTTTTTACTCACCTGCAGGTGAATGGCAAACTCCAACAGTAAGAAAGCTGAAGATTCTTGTTCTTAATGAGGGCTCTGAACACTTCTAAAAACACTGGCAGCAACACCTCCAAATAATGGCAAAATTTGCACCTCACCAGGAAGAAATGTTCCATGACACAAGGGGCTGAGTAGCTGAAGAAAGTTTGGGCATGTTTGTGGACTGAGACCAGCAACAGAATGGAGACATTAGAATAAGGAGAGAAAAGCAAAGAGTCCAGGCAGATGAAAAATTTGCAATAGTACTTACGAGACAGAATTTACATATGGGGGGTGGAACCAAACAACATTCCTTTATTAGAGACAAATATAGGTTGAGTGGAGATGTTATCTTAATAAATATCAGAAAGATATTCAAGTCCCATGGTCTCAGTTTCTCAGAAAGGGAGTGAGAAGTTTAAATGAAGAATGCTTGAAGGGGTGGAAAATATTTAGGACAAAAATCAAGTAGTAAGGATTTAAAGGATTACCAAGTGAACGTGCAGCATTTTAAGGTCAAACTGCATGATTTGTAGGGGATGCCTCCAGAGCAGAGGGGACCCATGCTCCTCAGCTGAGTCAAGTCCTCTAAGCTGACTCCAACCCACTTCCTGGCCTCTGGCCTTGGGTACTTTATCTAGGAACCAGTTCTTGCCTCAGGTATTTCAGGGACTATCTTGTCTCCAAACAATCCAAGATGCTCAATATGACCTTTCCCCAAATGACCCTATTTACTTCTTGAACATCTGCTTTCTGTTATAATCAACTAATTTTAGTTCCTCTGAGGACTCAGGACTTTTCATTACTTCTGGGCTTTTGATTACACAACTCCCCCTGAAATGCTTTGTCCATTTAATGCCTGGAGAGTAAAGATTCATTCATTTAAAGATCACCTCCTCCCAAAAGGCTTCCAGGATCATCTTAAGTAAAGTTGAGCACTGTCTCTTCTTTTACCAACACATCAATGTCCTGAACAAGTCCCTAGCAGCACGCAGATTAGTCCATAGTAGTCCATCAATTCTAAGTTGTACATTTTTTAAAAAAGATTTATTTATTCATGCATACAGAACTGGGGTACAGGCCAGAGGTGCAGGGGTGGTGAGAGGATTCACCAGAGACAGAGTGGGGAGCAGAATAGGCAGATGGACAAAGTACACTGCTGAGGGGAGCAGTGGGCGTGTCAGGAGAGGTCTGCTGCGCCATGTGGGTCACCTCCAGCATGGATGGGATTCGAACTCATGCTGAAGGTGGCTCTAGCTTCTTAGTACTGTGCTTTAACCCACTGTACCACCAGGGAGGGCCTCTAAGATGTACATTTTTTAACATTAAAAAGAAACCCTTTGAAGTAAAGATGTATATGAGCTAAGGTGTGCTGCTGTTTAACTGTCTGGGTTTTAAATTTCTTGGTGGTACAAAAAAGGTATATATTACTCTTAAAACTAGTGAAATATAACTTCATGTTTTAAGTTTCTGAAGTGAATGAAGCAATGATTTGAATCTGAAGACACTCTTGGTCCCTTCTCCTTATAGGTGGGAGAAAAAAATAGTTGGTTGTATTAACTTGATACCAACATTTAGTGGGTAGAAGACTGGCATGCTGCTGAACATCCTATAATGCACGTGACAACCCCCTCCCACAACAATTACCCAGTCCAAAGCATTAATAGTGGCTGGGTTGAGAAACCCTAGTATAGAGTAACAATATTGATTTGGGTATATGATATGCCTTCTGGGGCTTGGCATAAAATCAGTCCTTTATAATATATAGTGCAACCTAGTATTTAGCACTTTTCCTAAATCTTGGCTTGCAGAGCAAGAAAAGCAACTCTCTAAGCTTCTTCTGCACCTTTGCCCTACTGCCTTCTTCTAGACCCCCAAGAGGAATGAATGAAACAATATTCCAGGTCAAAACTGAAACACCAGAAGGTCTGAAAGTGACTTCCAACCTTAACCAATTAAGTTAGTTAATGGCAAGGCCAAGATTGAAACTGAGCCCCCTCCAGATTTCCTTGATCCCACCCAGCCTGGCAGATACTGTTGTTTCATGACTCAAATGGCTAAGAGTTTGGTAATTAAGAGAAAACTCTGCCCTACCAATTTGAGGTGTTTGATGTAGTAGGAGTTTATCATCAGGGGTCAAGCATCAAAACCAGGACCCAACTCTGTTCTTACCCCACTTTATGAGAATTAAGGTTGATTATGTAAGGTTGATTCTCTAGTTCTGCGGGGAACTGGATTTGTGCAAAAATAATTGCATTTCAAGTGTGAAGGAATTTTAAATAAATTTACGTGATTTTTGTCATACAGAAGACAAAAAGGACTTACGTGTGTTTAAAGCTGTAGAAGGCTATTAATTTGCAAAAGGGAGTAGAAGAAGCTGTCTTCCATGCCTAGAAGCTTCACAAGAAGAAAGTGTCTTTCGCTGGAGCAAGAAGCTGATTTGTAAAAGGAAGGAGTGCCAGAGGAAGGTTTTAGTAAACTAATCTGTCCCTGTTCTACAGTCAGATGGACCCCGAGTTCCCTACCCAGCTCTTGAGTGCCCAGGGTATCACTTGTCTCTTTCTCTTTCCCTTTCCCCTGGAGCGGTATCACTGTGGAGAGCTCCTTTTAGATCCCAGGGTACCAGACTCCATCCCCGCCCAGCAGCCCCGCCCTATGGAGCACCCAGAGCCTGAAAGGGGAAGCTAGAAGCCACACTAACCTTTAGGTGGATGGGGAAGGACCGCTCCTGCTGGAGGGGACCCAGCAGCGTCTGCTCCACAGTGACCAGCTCGGAGGTCGAGTCCACCACGCGGGCCAGCGCGCTGCGCATCGCCATCCGGGCCAGGGTGCAGGGTCCACGGCCCCGGGGGAAGGGCAGCAGATCCGCGCCACCCTCCGCGCCTCGCACCACCTCCACTTCCCGGTAGCTTGCAGCTGCCTCGGCTCCACCATTCCAGGCGCCCCTACTCACGCCCCCCTCCTCGCGCCAGTGCCCTGGCTGGGCCCGCCAAGGGCCTGAGCGTCGCTTTGGGGCATTGGGCAAATGATCCGGGTCGCTCAGGCCCCCGGGAGCGCCCGGACCATCCCCCCATCCCCATTCCTGCTGCACCAACTGCAGGGTCTGCAGAGCCACCATTTGATGGCTAATGGAGGCCACTAAGGGCGCGGGGCTGGTCATCGCCTCCGCTGGAGACTCCGTGCACCCCACGGGCAGGTGGAAGGGAGAGCGAGGGAGGCGGGGGGCCTTTGGGGGAACCAGGGTCACAGATCCTAGCCCGCCGCTCCCCAGCCTCCCAGCCTCACTACGTGTGAGGCCGGCCCCGCCCCCCGGCCCTCAGTCGGTGACCCGCACCGGCCCCTGCATTGGCTTGAAGTCTGAATAGACTTGATCAGACCCAAGGCTGCCTCAAGCGCTGCTCCATGTGCACTTGAAAATCAGCCAGATACTGAGCTTGGTTCTTCCTCCTCTCCAGGGCTTTGCTGGGAAAATGCGCGGCTTTGTGCGGATCATCCATTCTCAGGAATACCCCGCCCCCACCTCCTCCGCAGGCTACCAACAGGTGACCACAGAAGCTTTGAGAGTTGAGGGTGGGGACGGGAGGGAACTTAAAATTCACTCTAGAACAAAAGTATGTGGAGCCAGAGAAAATCTCTAAAGAAGGCTGTGGCTTTTCCTTCTCCCACACTTTTACAACACTATAGGGATTCTGTAGCCCTCAAGGCCTCACCGTCCCTCAAGCAAAATAAAGGAACCTGTGGATCTCGTTGGGGGCTGCTTTGCTCCCCACCACATGTGCTCAGAGATCCTGACCACTAAATAAAATCTGGAAGCAGCAATACAGCCTGCTCCCGACGCTATGCAGGAAGTGGGGCCTGGCACTGCCTAGATGAGGAGTCTAAATGGTTTTGAGTGAAACTCCCCAAAGACTTAGGCAGCAAGGTTTGCAGCTAAATTTTTTTTACGACCCATGAATCAAGGGACAGCTGTACAAATAGTTGCTGGTCTTAATTAAAACTAGCTTCGCTACTTTCTTGACTTAGGAAAAAGGACTGGCAAATTTATGCTTTGATAGATTGGAAACTATTAGTGTGTGATTGCACTTTGGGAAAAAAAAAAGACACGTGAGGGCAATGGTATGGAAGACTGTTCCAGGGCAGCTTGTTTCTGCTTTCTTTTTGTGTGGGAAACCATTTAGATAATCCCACAACAGTAAAACATAGGGCAAAGGTGTGGGACTATGAGAGACAAGTGGGCCCTAGTAGGCCCTGGAGGATGAGATTTCATTCTTCTCTTAGAAGGAAAAATCCACCCATGGTGTTGTGGAGTCTGATCCAAAGAGCCATTCTGGTGAGCCTGTTAATACAGAAGGGCAGTCATCAGAGATTTTTAAGGAAAGGATCGAGTTAAATTTCTTTAACTCTAATATTATTCGACCCTATATAAGCCTCACAATTCTCCAGTGAAGGTTCCTTGTCATTTTCAGTGTTTTGTTTTGCCTAGGAAAACAAATCTGAACGCCAATGTAAAGAAAACCTTTCTTAAACACAAAGCAGTATGTTCACACTAATTATAGCTAAGTAAAAATGTGTGTCTCTGCATCGAGAGAAAGAAACTACATAGGAGGGAAGTAAATAGTTTAATGTTGATTAGATTCTCTTGCCATAAGTTACTTAACTCATCATATAACAAAATAGACTCTGTGTGTCTGTGTGTACAAGCATGCACATTCCTCAAACGTTGAAATACATTACGTTCAGTGGAGACTAACTGAGATTCATAAAATCTAACCCCTGATTTTCTTAGAGCATGTCAGATCTCCAGGGGTGCTCCTTTTTCAAGATTCACAGGAAATCCAGTTTCATGGACTAACTCTTCCACTATCAAATGGCTGAATGCAAGGCCTTCTTGACAGATGGAATTTCAGACAACAGCAAAATTGAAATCACTAGATTTGGGCTGACCTGTGGCCTCACAGTTCTACACTCCAGGCTGACTCTGATTGCCACAAGCCCTTCAGGGGACAGGAGAGAAGGGAGTCAGAAAACCATGGGATGGTACATGTGGCTTTAAATAGATATCTGAATTTTCTAGCATCCTTTAGAAATCACTGGATTATTCAGCATTGTCTATCTTGGCCATGTGCCACATTTTCCTTTGCAATGACCTGGAAATGGTTGATGTCTAAAAACTAGAGTTTTGAGGTCCCAACTGTGGAAAAAAATTATTCGTCAGTTGACATGTTAATAACAGCAGTTAATTACAGCAGATTTACCTTTGATCTAAAACAATCCCAAAAGTATATTGCTAAGATACCAGATCAAGTAACAAAGTTATATACTCTATTCACTGTACTCACAGTCTGATGCTACTATGTAATAGAAGACACATTCACAAGGACAAAGGAATAGACACATGAAATTTTTGCTTCCCGACACCCATTTCACATTTTTATGGAAACCGTACCCTCATTTCTCAATAGGTATTCTTCCTCCTCCATGTTCAATCCATGAAAAAGCTGAGGCATGTATGCTGAGCCCAATCATAAATCACATTCCCATATTAAATGGTTAGAAAAGGGTATAATGACCCAATTGGAGAGAATATCAGTTAGGGTATGTTTGGTTGAATTTACTGTATAAGAAAAAAACAATGCAACTCGAAAAATGTATAGACCAAAAATGAAAACAGCAAAAAGTCAAATTCCCTTTTAACAAGAAAACTTGGCATGAGGTAGTTTCATTAATAAGAATAAGTTATTGTCTCAGATCATAAGTCGTAAAGTAGGAAGACTCCAGGGTTGATTAATCTTTAGGTGTATCAGATCTCCAGGGATCTTCTTTCTTCTATACAAAGAAAATGTATAGGGCCAACCCATCTATCACCAAATGACTGACTGCAATAATACTTTATGGATGTGAAACTGAGAATATATAAATTTTGGAGTTTCTGCATCATTTTTGTTTTTTTAAGATTTATATATTTATTGTGTAGAAAAACCTGGGGTATAAGCCAGAGGTGTGGAGGTGAGAGGATTTACCAGAAACAGTGGGGAGCAGAACAGGCAGATCTACTGAAATAAACTTCTGAGGGGAGCAGCAGGTAAGACAAGAGAGGTCTGCTACACCATATGTGGGTCACCTCCCTGGCCAGGGATTGAACTCAGGCCCTGGTGGTGATAGCACTGAGACTTAACCCCTAAGCCACCAGGGTGACCCCCGCAGCATTCTTGTGAGGCTGTGGGGAGTACCTGCCTATGGCTGAGGTAATACTTGATAGATGAAAGTCAAGAAGATATCTGAGGGAGAAATTATTGAACTAGTAATATCAGCCAAGTCCCACACTGAACTCCAAGTCCTCCTCTGAGCTTTTCAGTTATACAAATTACACAATCTCATTACTCCTGAATCAGTCTGGGTTGAATTTATTGCCTCCTGCAACAAGAAGCAAATTGCTTGAGATATATTATAAGGATAAATAGGATGCTGATGGAATGACCCTTTCATCCAATGCTTCTCAGACAAACATTGCTGAAAGATCCCTGCCGTCATTTCCAGCATGTTTTTATCTTTCACCTACTACTAAATACTATTAGTTTGACAATTGTGAGAGAAGTTCCTTGAGCAGCTCTGGTCATTCCTGATAACTGAGTGTAGCATTAGAAAATCAGCAATGGAATTGAGATGGAAAAAAAAAATGTACAAAATGATGTAAAAATAAACTGTTATAAAATTAAAAAAAGAAAAGAAAAAGAAATCAGCAATGGAAACATTCATGTCCCTGGGTCATTTGGGATGGAAAATAGAAGATATAAAATTCAGTGAAGTGAAAAACAATTTCTTCCTATTAAGGGACAAGGTAATGTTGTTAGTACATGGCCAATAGGTAATCAGGAACCCCAAACTGTTGAGGGATGTATGCTCTAAGAAGAATCCTGCCATCCACATGCACAAAGGAAAAGAAGCAGAATCTTAGTGTGAAATATATACATATATACTTTGCTAATTGGTGTCCATAGTGAGTGAGAGTGGGGTGGTGGGGGGGTGGAGGGGAAAAGCATTCCAAGTAATAGTTTAATAATAAAATGCCCCCAAATTACCCATCACTTTATAAGCAAATGTCCAGTCAAATAAGGTTAACTAGAAGCAGGGCAACTGAGGCTAGAAAACTTAACAAAAGTCAAAGGTTCTTTCTGGCAGGGAAACACAAGAAAGGGATTAGATAGTTTCCAGAGAGCTAGGAAAGAAGGAAATATCCAAACTTCAAAATATGGCATATCCAGATAATGGTTGCCATTGTCTCTGCTGAGAACCAGGAGCAAACTCCTCACATGTTTCTAGCCTATGTGTCTCTTTCAAGCATCTATTCCAAGTGACTCTACATGTAAATCTTCCATGCATCTCCTCTAAGTTCCCCTTCACTTGTGTCCCTTCTGTTTATATATTCAATTCACTCCTTCCCAACTACCTGCCATGTAGGAATTTGGTTCACTGTATACTGACACTCATAATGCAAAAGATCTGTCCATAAGTGGGGAGATGTCTAGCACCCATTCGATTTGCAGAAATATAGCTGTAACAGAGTATTGTTAAATGGACACATGTTGTAGCACTGCTGTTAATCCAAAGGTTCTTTTGCCACATGAACAAAAGCGATGAACTCCAGTATAGAATCATAAAGAAGCCAGGCACACTGAGAACAAAATGGAGCTGGCAGAAGATACAGCTATGTAGAACCTTCCTCAAAGAACTTGACTGAGCCCAGACACATACAGCCTTCTTTGGCACTTTTCTCCAAAAGGGATCCAAGAAAATTCCAGAAATGGATCTGTTAACCTTCAACACACCCTGGTGAAGTTCAGAGGTCAGAACAAAATAAAACATGTCCAAAGAGACCAAAGTGTTATTATTCTTGAATAAAAATTATGATTGAGGAGAAACAGATGCTGAAGAGCTATACAAAGGTTTGAAAATATACTGTAAAAGAGAAAACAATAGGAACTAGGAAAGATGGAGGCCCAGAGAAGAACAAAAAAGATCAAATTCCTGTCTTAAGCATACAACTGTAAAGTTTGGATATGCCAAGTCATAAAACTGCACATGCAATTCTAACTTGAGCCTAAATATTTGATTTGCAGGAAAAATAAATGTGATCCTGCTACAAAACTTCTAAATTGCCAA